GGTAGTAGAAATATGATCAGGGCGAGGGCGTTACATCTAAGATATCTAAAACAAGCACTAGGGGAAGGTGTTTTATTTTTAACGATTTCGAGGTGTAACTACAAGCCTACACAAACGGTGATTGGGTAGGTTGTAAAGATTTTCGATGATCCGTCACTTGGATACTATGTTTTTCTTTGTAATTCTCTTGTCATCTTAAAATCCAAAAAACAATTTTTAGTAGCTAGAAGCTCTACTGAAGTAGAATATAGAGCTATGACTTCAGGTTGTTGTGAATTGGTTTTCGTGCCGTCATTGTTGATAGACTTAGGTTTTGATCATAAGGATGTAATGGTGACAAAGTGTGACAATCAATTTACAATTTGCATTAGTAAAAATCCAATTTTTCATGACAGAACGAAACATACTAAGATTGATTGCAACTTTGTGAGAGAGAATGTACCTAATGGAATTATCAAACCTGAGTTTAAGCCATCCAATTTGCAGGCTGCAGATATGTTTACCAAAGCTTTGCAGCCTACAAAATTTCATCTTCTTCTGGACAAGACGAGCATTGACGACATTCATATTCTTGTTGAAGGGTAGTATTAAGAAAGTCCATCTACACATGGCTTTAAATGAATTTACTATCTTTTCTTACCGCTATTTAATTATTTCACGTGTTTGTAAGCAACTAAGTCAGTTACAAATTAATTAGTTAGTTCTAGATAGTTGCAATTAGTTTCTTTTTAACTTCTTGTTTTAGTTTTCTCTTCCTGGTAAGTGTGTATATCTGGCGGTGAAGGAGAGAAGATGACTGTAACATTCACAACAAACCGGAGAATTCTATTTTTTGCTTCTTCTCCAAACTTTCGTCTTTTCTTTACAATAAAACATATAATATATGCAGTATCTTTTAAGAAAGTCTTTTTAATCTATATGATATTTGATAAAATTTCATTATAATTTTATCGGAACCAAATACTTCGACACAAAATGTATATTCATATATAAGTTATGAATAATACAAGGCTTGAATTCAACATTTTCGTCTACCAAGAAAGTATAAACATGAAGCTATAACACATAACCCCTTTTTAAAATCTAACCCTTCCCCTTTACGGAAAGAACAAAAAGCAAATTAGCAACCAATCATGTACTCTATTTTTTAATCATCTTCATGAACTGAGGAATCTAGAACAAAAATGAGAAAAGGCAGAGAGGAAAGTCGTCTTATTGAAGCACAAACCATTTGGTTGCATGAGCCAAAATGGTCATAAAGCATTGGACATATCCGAATGCGTCAGAACGCATTTCCACTATATATATAAAAATTGCATAGAAGCCAGAAAATGATCATCCATTATTAAGGCTGCTTATTATGAGGCAGCATTCCTTTTCTGAACCAATTTTTTGGTCCAGTTTCAAACTTGAACAGCTGCAGAATAATCAAATGTGGCCATTATGTTTCGTGGAAATGGATGCACCACACTTCTTTGAAAGATGACTGGTCCAAGAGACCATGCATCAATAACAAATAAGGAACAATTTACAAATAATTTAGGTAGGAAAGGCTTATGTATGCTAGTTATTGTTGCCATTTCTTTCACATAAATTATCTCTCTATGGAATTTTCCTCTATTTTATGTTTGGTCATGTTCCTTAAATCTACTTAATTAATGGACATGATTAATTTTAGTACATGTTCAAAATTAATAATGAGATTTAAAGTATATATAACCTGTTGAATTTTTTTTTCAAACACACAAAGTCTGAGTCTCATTCTGTTATATTTTATATGAAGAATTTTATTTTTCTTTGACTAGAAATTGCAACTTTAATTAAATAGAATGAGAGAGATATATATTATTAGACTTGGTTAGATTAATTAGATGGATTTAATTATTGTATCGTATCGGATTCTAGTTGTTTTAAGTTTAGATTTTTACATGTGTAACCTTAATCTTAATTCATTGAATTTGAGCCAGTTCCATAACTCATAAGTTTGAGGTTATTTATTATTATTATTGCAAAAAAAGAACTCGATTATTATTATAAATTAATATTACACAAATGTATTTGAATTACAAACATCTCACTCGACTATGATAATTACCAAAACATATATGTTCATACTAGCAGAGGTATAAAGTAAAAAATTTAATGGAGTAAGTGCTTTTTGTGCAATAGCTTTTGCATCATTTCTTATTTTTTTAATAAAACAATGACGGGATTCTCTTTGGAGAAAAAAGAAAAGAAAATAAACTATGTTATTTTTTTTTTAAATATCAACCTTTTTGACATGTATCAAATACATTATTGATACATTATCATTTTCGTATGAAATTATCTCATAAAAAGAAATAATATTAGAGTTTGGCACAACATATTCAATTTATTTGGTAATTTGAAAATAATATTATTAAGATAAGTACGAAAAGACAATGTCATCTTCGTCTTTTTTTTTTTTTGCAAGTCAAACAATAATTATATAAGGAAAGCCATCCATCCTTCCACAAACTAGTCTGTGTTCAAATTTTGAATTAAAAATGCTGGATCCATAATCCTATTTTTATAGACATATTCGAATTGTGTTCAAATTTGCAACCTCTAGAGGTCGCTCAATCATAAGTTGTAATGATACTATTTTTAATTATTTTTTATTATTCATCTATTTAATTTTACAATTATTAACCCATAATAGAAGCTCGTGTTGATGTTATTATTATTTTATTAATGCTTGTGCATTATTTTAGGTTCATCATGTTTTATGGGTGACCTAACTTCTCATCAAGAGAGCCGACAAAGCATTATGGGAAGTGCTTGTACATGTATACATACATAGCAAGTGGGTCCCCAAAACTGGCCATCAACTTTCTAATTAAGCAAAGATCAGGATTCTTGTTGATGAATCATATTCTAGCACCATTATAACTCTATGAAACTCCAATTATTTGTCTCCTACCTACTTTATTATTACTATTTATTTTATTTTATTTTATTTTACAGAACACAACAAACCAAGAAACAAAGAAGGCTACGGCCCACTCGTGATCATGGAACTCTAGAGATGGTGCACATCCTTTTCTAATCTTCTATCTTCACAATAAGCAACAAAAAAACTATCCACCATCTTTATTAATCACAAAGAATGCTGTTCTAGTAAGCAACATGACATGATCCCCATATCTAGCTAGCTATTAAAACCAGGCACGGAGTGGGAGACAGTTCATGTGGTGTGTTTTTAAAAAGGAGCTTATTAATATCCGATAATAGGATCCCAAATAAAAATCTATAATTAACCTAAAAATGGAATTATTTGATCCATCAATTTAGATTGTGGATCAACCAATCGTATAAAAGGTATCATCTTATGTGATTATATTAGGAAACATAATAAACCACAAAGATTATAAAAAGATCTAGTGATAAAGAGAGTGTCTTTGGTTCATCAAGTCAAGGATTTGATTTCTAATTTTAAAAATCTCTTTCTTCTTCTTTGAATGGCATTAAAAATAGACTATTGATTGGTTCAAAAAGTCTTAATTGGCCAAAGACTAGACATGATCTAGTCTAAAAAATGATAGATTTAATTTCGATTAATGTCAAAATTAATCAAAAGATATCTCATTATCTGTAAATATATATATATATAAATAAGAAATATAATAATTTTTATCGCTTATTAAAAACTAATAATAATCTTTTTTTCTATTATATATTTAATTTAAAGCTGATAATATGACTAAATAAAATAGTCAACTATCATAATAAAAAAAAAAAAAACTGGTCAACTAGGGTCTAAATGATGAATCATATATTCACCTAATAATTGATATCAATTAACTAATACCTATTATCAATCTTCGTTTTTTAATTTATTGTGTTAGGTGGTCCGACAATTATGGTTATTATAATATTAGGTATTTATAGATACAATTATAAAGGTATATAAATTTATTATTTTATATACATGCTTAAGGTATACTTTTTAGATATTATATTATACAATTGATTGTTGACCTATATATATGTTTTGTCTTCACTTGTGGTTTTTTTTTAAATTTTTTAAGATTTATCAAATGATTTGTATTTTAAAATCTTTTTTACGTCATTAAACTTTTGATATCATTTTAAGTCAGATAATTAAAATTGATGGAGAATAGCTTTTTTTCAATTATATTATATTACTCATATATTATTTATTTATTTGATATGGAATAGATTCTAGATAAATCCACTCAACTTGGGTTTGAACATGAATAATTGAGATGAAGATCTCAATTTTTTCTTCCTTGGACACATTAGCATTTATTTTTCTACTCTGAATATTATCTTAAAGCAATCTTTGAATGATTGCATAGATATGGGTTAGTTTGTTGGTGAAGAATGGGAACAGAAAAGTAGTAAAGTAAAGCAAAATAGCAAGGCTGCCGGGACATATAATAGGCGTAAACAAAGCATGTAACTTGCCTAATAATTGATACATGTAAAGGGCAACTACATACGCCAAAAAGCATGGGAAAAGTAAGTGGCAATAGTTAATTTTGGTACACTAATGGGTGGCGAAGGTCCAAGCGAATCATTCTCTTGATGTGTCGCCCACTGCCATGTGAACTGCATAGTATTCTAGTCACAGAGAGAGAGAGAGAGAGAGAGAGAGAGAGAGAGAGAGAGAGGGAGGGAGGGAGGGAGGGAGAAGTTTCCTTGTTTTTTTTGCTACGATGATGTGGGTTCATTCGAATGGTCAACCTTTGTATAGAGAGAGAGATGGTGTTTCATAATTTCCATACCCTAAGATTCCTTTCTCTACTCAATTCATTCCGTTGATTAATTATCATAGCCACCTACCTACCCACCCAACTTCCCTACCCTTGAACACAAATAAAAAGTCTCTACTCATTCTCTTCCTCTTATTAAGACCCTTTGTCTCCCCCATTTCTCTCAAACTCACAACTCTCCCCTAATTTTATCATTTTCTCTTCCTTTTGTGTTACGAGAGTAGTCTTGGTACGTAGTTAATGGGTTGTCTTGATGATGGCTGCAACACTGGCCTTGTTCTTGGCTTAGGCTTCACAGCAACGAACCTAGAGAGTTCATCAAAGCCAGCTGATAAGAACGATCGACTCATAAGGCCTCAGGTTAAACCATGCTTCAAGTTTGACCATAAGCCGTTAATGACAAGTTTTGAGCCTTCACTTAGTTTGGGTCTTTCCGCTGAAAATTATAGCACTCATGGTTCTAGCCAAAAGACTAAAGGTTGCGAGGAGTCTAATATTGGTGCTCACGATCAGTTGTATCGTCAAGCTTCTCCTCATAGTGCTGTTTCTTCTTTCTCTAGTGGTAGGGTTAAGAGGGAAAGAGACCTTAGCTCTGATGATGTAGAGGTAGAGAGGGTTTCTTCAAGAGTAAGTGACGAAGATGAAGATGGTACTAATGCAAGAAAGAAACTTAGACTCAGCAAAGAGCAATCTGCCCTTTTGGAGGAAAGCTTCAAACAACACAGCACCCTTAATCCTGTAAGTAATGAATCTCTTAATCTCTGTTTTCTTAACTTCAATTTATAATTTTGTATATCTCTATCTATTCTAGTGATTAAAATTTGATCCTTCTTTTTGGTTTTTCTTATGAAATAAATGAACAGAAGCAGAAGCAAGCTTTAGCAAGGCAGTTGAATCTGCGACCGAGACAAGTTGAAGTATGGTTCCAAAACAGGAGAGCCAGGTAATCAAGATAACGTTTAAATTATATAATCCATCAAAATTATCACCATAATATCCATAACATATCCAAAAGCCCCACAAAAAAGTTTCCTATCCCTGAAAGAAAAGAACCTCAATTACTCCGTACAAAGCATTGAGCACAAGATACAGCTACTTGCTTTAATTAATAAACCCATAAAATCTTTCTTTTTTCTTTTTTCTTTTGGGTTTTTTAATTGTAAATTTAATGATTTGATATTATATCTAACGGCCTTATTAATGATGGTTAGTAATTATTATCTGCAGGACCAAACTGAAGCAAACTGAAGTGGACTGTGAGTTCTTGAAGAAGTGCTGTGAAACGCTAACAGATGAAAATAGGAGGCTACAGAAGGAGCTGCAAGAACTTAAAGCACTGAAACTGGCACAACCCTTTTACATGCACATGCCAGCAGCTACTCTCACCATGTGTCCATCCTGCGAAAGAATTGGTGGTGTTGGTGATGGTACTGCTTCAAAGAGCCCGTTTTCAATGGCTCCAAAGCCTCACTTCTATAATCCCTTCACTAATCCTTCAGCAGCATGTTAATGAAGGTGCCAGGATATATAGGAGATAAATAAATAGATCGAGTATAGACCAACCCCACAATCCCTCTATTTTTTGGTTAAGGGGTTGTAGTAAAAGATTAGTGTAATTAATTATTTTGTAGAAAAATAGTGTTTACCGATCAGTCTTATTTTTCCTTTTTCCTTTTTTATTCATTACATGTTTGTATATTATTGTTAAGCAAATCAAAAAATCTATGAAGGGATGACTATTGTTTATTTGATTTTCATGGCTTCCTCTCTTAAACTCTTACAATATATTCCTCCCCTGTTCTCCGTAAATTTCGCCAGTTTCCATCATTGGACGGACAGTCATGACACGACATGATGCCAAAAATACCAAATTTGTGCAATTTAGATCATTTTTGGATAAAAATACAACCAATTTAATCCAATTATTTGTGGAAAGTAAACTCATTGATTGTTCCGGAGTCGTGACTTGTGAAAATAAGGCTACCGTGTAAAGGAAAAAGGTTTCTATTTTTTTTTTAATTTTTTTTCTAATTTAGATCTTTAATTTTTTTTTCTATAATTAAGTTTTCTTTCATCATGTTTATCAATCCTCATCCGTAGAATCATTAAAACTATGATAGTTTTGAAAATTCTAAATACAACACACTTATTGGTTTTTTGATTCTCCATATTGTTACGTGTATTTAATAAAGTTTGAAATTTACTAACAAAATAGCAAAATTTAATTACTAATTACAATAAATTTTGAAATTTATTAACAAAATAACAAAATTTAATTACTAATTAAAAAAATTGAGTATCTTAGTCAGAAGGAAAAAGTTAACAATATTTCCAATATTTAAAAATATTTTAAAACTAATTAGCTTAAAAATAAAATAAAAAAGGGTGAAATTTATGACGAACTTTGGAATTATATCTTTTGAATGCAAATGGGCCATAAAAAAAAAGAGAAAGCATAATTTTTGGAAACTAAGGAAGTGAAATTTACAAATTTCTAAAAAATTTGCACCAAACTCTTTCTAAATTTTATACGTTGACGATTAAGTCTTTATCAATCCCTTCAGAGTGAGGACACTAATAAGTAAATGATAATAAATAATAAATTATTAGGAGAGAAAGAGTCATGCCACAGCAATGATTCCTGCTTTTGAATGAAAACCATTTCATTTTTCGTAGTTTGGTGGGCTATTTGTTGTGGGTCTCCAAGAAAGGAGATAGACAGATAGATAGATGGGGATAATGATAAATCAGTTGATGATTAGTCTCATTGATGATGGGAGAGAAGGAGAGGGGATATGGGCGGTTAGCTCACGTGTAGCTGTCTCTACTATATTCAGTTGGGTTAGAAAGGGAGAAAAAGGAGTCGTCAAGAAAATGGGTGGTGAGTGGCGTGTAGACAAAGAAAGGAATTGATGATTCACTTGAGGAAATACAAAAACGAAAAACATTAAAAAAGTGTCGAGGTCGTCTTCCTCCTCCTCTTCCTCCTCCTCGTGAGGTGCTACATGTTTGAGGGTGACAATGGGCCATATGCCACGTGATGTCCCCTTGGCACCTTCTCTTTTTATCTACAATTTTTCATCGTGGGATTTTGCCGTGAATCTCAGATTATTAGACTCTTCTATGATGTAGGGCCCTTCTGTTTGGTTAAAATTCCAAATCCCATCCAAAAAGTTAGATATTCCACTTTATGATAATGGAACATATCTTGGGCTAGGGCTTACTAATTGTACGGTCTAGATTAATTGATACATATTTTTTAAAAAATATTTTAAATTCAAAAGTTTAGATTAATTACTCATTATTCGATATAACATATAAAACGAATATAGCTATTCAATGATTTTATTACGTATATAAATATTCAAATTTTTAATTATTTGTTTAAATGATTGAATGATAAATCTAAATTAATTCTTCATTATTGGATGAGATGCACAAAATAAATATAACTATTCAATAAATTTTTTACATAAATAAAGATTTAAATTCTTTATCGCTTCTTAAGTCACTAAAACTCATTTTATTCGAGCCAATCATCTTGCATAGATTAATGTGTTTTCAAGAATAAAAATGCTAGAGCCACGATATCATGATTGGTGTGGACATGGTTCATTGAATTGCTGAGAAGGTTCTCTTCCATAAGAGTCCACACATCTATACATTATTTCGATGCCTGAAATTATGGTGTGGACCAATAAATGATGAGGTGACTTCCCCTGTAAAAGTGGGGCTTTCCAGGAAACTCACTCCCTCTTTATCACTTTCATCATCTCTTTTATACCGTCTCTATCATTATCATTGAATTACCAGCGTGCACTTGGAGCATTTGTCGTGATACCATTTTTTCTTTCTCAAAATGAGAGTATGCTCAAATCCATTTTCCATTTTTTTAAATATCAATATAAATATTATTCTCTGTATAAACAAGTTCTACGTGACAATCCAAACGTATTTATCTGTTTAATCTCACGCTCAAACCTCGTGAAATAACTTTAAAATGACAGAAGAAGAAAAAAACACCTTCACACCGACTGAAATAATTATACCTTGACTGGGTAGGGGTTTTCTAGTTAGTTTTTCTCACTCATCTCGATAGTTAATGACACAAAATTCGTTGGAAGGTATAGAGGGAGATCAGGTCTAGATCCCGAGCTTTTTAGTTGCGAGTGTTTAGAGAGAAAAATCATAGAAACGAGAGCTCAAAGTAAGCCAGACAACTGGGAAAAAAGATGGAAAAAAAGTCAAGTCCTAACCCCGTAACTGGATATGGGTTTTTACACCTATTTTTCTTGCTTTTCTTAATAAATAATTGTGTGAAACTTGTTTGAGAGTGTAGAGAGACATCAGGGCTAGGTCTTAGGTCTTTGAGTTGCGATTGTTTCAGAGTTAGAAAGCGAGCAACTAACAAGATAAAACTGGTAGCGAAGAGGGCTGACTGGATTGGGGTTTTTGAACCCATTTTTCTCGCGATTCTTACCTAATTATGTGTGAAATTTGTTTGGTGATGTTGAGAAATATCAATACTAGAATATAGGATGGTTTTCAAGGGTCAGTTTGAAAGGATAATAAGAGAGGAATAGTCACAAAATGGCTATCTAAAGGCTGTCAAAACTAGATTTCTAGGCATTTTTGGGTGGAAGTGGTGTTTTAATAATTTTAAAACAACGCATGTCAAACACGTGTCTAGAATATTTTGGTGGTAAAATGATAATTTGATAGATTGGTCTTTTATAGTATTTTTTTGAGGCAGACTTAGCTTGTAACTATTTTTCGATTTATATTGATCGCTAGATATTTTTATAGATGAATTATAGATAATTTGAAGTGTGCATGAGTGATACACCCTTGCGCACCAAACCTATGGTATTTGAGATCCTCAAGGATTTTTTAGTTGAAATAAGATCGAAATGAATGTTATGCTATATATGGAGTTGAAAGGATGGGATTGGAACTTCATTTCTTGGATTATTTGAGATAAGTATATGTCCCAGTGTGACTATAACTGTGTAAATGCCTGAATGCTTATGTTGAAATTACTCTGATTGTGATACTTAATGTGATTTATATGTCTCGAACCAAAAGTTCTTATATATATATAAAATTGATTTTCTTCATAAACGAGTCTCGCAAAAATCGATTTGTTCTACCATTGTTTGTTTGGCTTTTGCTTGTTTTTTTAAAAAAAATCATGAAAAATAATTTTGTATTTCCCCTATCGGTGTTTTTATGAGTTTTCCTAAGAGATCGTAGATTTTAAGTTTGCATTGTTTCTAAAATCTTAACGTTTAAGAGCATCTCCAATGCTCTCTTTATATTAAGATTTTTCTTTATAATAAAGAGGTTTGATCTAAATTTCATCTTCAATGCTCTCTTTATCACAATCTCTATCTTTAAAATTGATATAGAGAGTGTCTTTAGTTATCCAATACTAGAGAGTCCAAATAACTCTTTATCTTATATTTCATTAATGAAAATTACTATTTTCTATACCATTCAACCTCTTCACCAATAATCTCTACGGGTTTTATAGATTTTATCAAAATAAAGAGTTAAGTAGAGGGTAGCATTAGAGAGGATATTCATCTTCAATCTATATAATTAATGATGCTCACTATTTATATTAAAAATGCTAGTTAAAAGTAGAGAGCACCATTGGAGATGCTCTAAGTCTACATCGTTTTGAAAATTGTCTTCTTGAGTTTTTTTCTAAAAAATTATGACTTTTGAGTTTGTGTTATTATCAATGCCTCATTGCTTGAGTCTATGTTGTTTTAAATATCATCTTCTTGAGTTTTTCAAGAAATCATAACTTGCGAGTTTGCATCGTTTTTAAAATCCCGATTGCATAAGGTTCCATCGTTTTGAAAATCATGTCTTGAGAAAGCGCAACTTTCGAGTTCATGTAACTTTTAAAGCCTTAGTTGCCTAAGTGTGTGTCATTTTGAATACCATCTTTTTGAGTTTTCTAAAAAATAGTGACTTTTGAGTTCGCATCGCTTTCAAAACCCTAGCTTTTTGAGTTATTTTTAAAATCATGTTCTCAAGTCTTTTTTGAGAAAATTGCAACTTTTGAGTTCGTGTTGTTTTGAAATCACGAGTTTTAAATTCTTGTCATTTTTCATGGCATCCAAGTCCATATCATTTCAAAAACTTGATTACAAGTCTACACCATTCAAATAAATTCTCTTGAATTTTTTGAACCTTCACGAGCTATTAATATTTTGAGTTGATTTTCCTTTAGTCCAACAACTCGTGTTTTCTATAATAAGGATAAGGCTTTTGACCAACCTATATATATGATATCAAATCACTCAATTGATTAATCCACGATATGATGAAAAACACCAATCGACATAGATTTTCATTACACGTAAGTCTAGTGTTGGAACTTTAAAATTCAAGGTCATATGTCGATCAAGTATGGTGTCTTTTTATGACAAAACGAGTAAAGCATAAGTGAAACAATGCATTTGGTCTCATAAACCAACCGGGTTTCGACAAAGTCTTGAGTTTTTAATGAAACGATGTGTTTGGTCTTATAACCAATCAAATTTCGATGAAGCCTTAAAACTTTAATGAAATGATGCGTTTAGTTCTCTCATCAACCAGATTTCGACGGAGCCTTAAGTCTTTAATGAAATAATGTGTTTGGTTATGTCACCAATCGGGTTTCAACGGAACCTCAAGTCCTAAGTGAAATGATGTATTTAGCAATATAACTAGTTAGGTTTCAAGAAATTGTGAAATTTAAATAAAACGATGCGTTTGATCTTGCAATCGGCTAGTTTCGAAAAAGACAATATGCACAAAAAAAAAAAAAAACAAAGGGACGAGTTACCAAATAACTATTTGCGTTTAAATTTAAATAAAAGACAGCTTATCAATCATGAGTTACTTAAGGAAGGAGGATCAATAAAATCGCAAATGATCAACAACAAAAGACTTCTTATATAAGTTTATTCAATTTTCTTAGTTTACCCTATAATAGTTAGTTACTACTTTCTTGCAAGTAGTGCAATAGTCTTTTATTATTTTCAATAATCTTATCCTTATAACTTAAGAAGCATTGATATGTCGAATAGTATTAAACATCTTGATAGCTAATGATGCAAGTGTTGTATTTTTTTATTTATGATATTTACATTCTTTTTTATGAGTTTTGTCTATTCCAATTGATTGATAAAATTCTTTTTACTTTATTACTCTTTCTTTAAACTAAGTACCACGAGAAAATTCTAATGGCTTGTTAGGTAAAACCAAACCTCATTATATTTCATCCGAAAGGACTTAATCACTAATTAAAATATCGATATACTTCGTTTTAAGATTAAATTTGATGAGCGAGCAACAACTAAAAATTAGGTTTAGATATGTATGTAATACATCGTGGTTTAAACAAGATGGAATAAGATCATTTTTATATTTCCTATATGTAACTAAATTTTTATCTTAGAATTTTGAGCAAACCAGATATTTAAGTTTTTAGTCATTGTTAATATTAAGTGGTGATTCTTTTTACTGACTCTTAGAGCTCGCAAACCACCCCATGTCGTCCAGCGACACAAGCCTTGACAAAAATCCCTCAAAATCTATTCTTTTAGTTGACGTTTGAAAAAATTTTCAATTGTTTGGTAGTTCAAATCTAGCTTCCTGTTCTCTCTCTCTCTCTCTTTTTCCTTGCTTCATTTGGAACAATCGCTCCATGATGTTCAATCTGACTTTCAACTCAAACCCGTGCTTCTATATCAAAATCACCTAAATGCTCACTTGATAAATGATTAGATTCATAGGAAAATTAAGATGTGCATTGATTATTATACACTTAGAGTCTAAAAATAAATTATCATTGTCTAGGATAAAACATCTGCACCCAAAGTATATAAATAACCAATATTTGACTTCGTGCCTTCAATAATTCATAAAGAGTCTTCTCCATTATTGGTTTTATAGAGTTACGATATTGAGAAAATAGCATGCAGTGTTCCCTATATGTAGAAGTAAAGTCTTCTTTCATTATTTAAGCATGGACGTTGCCATCTCTTGGAGACTTTTATTCTTAATTTCTCTCAACAACTCCATTATATTGGAGAGTTCTAGGATTAGAGAAAGATCTGAGTAATCCTTATTTATTTATTTATATCTCATACGTCTAAGACTTATAATAGTATTAGTCTATTCGAATTTGAATTCTTGACTTCTTATAAGATACCACTAGCACGTTCTTGGGTAGGCATGAGTAATCCCTTGTTCGCTTAGAAGCTTTGAAACTCATGATTTTCAAATTCTCCTCTACGATCACTTCTTACGTAAAAGATTGCCATGCTCTTCTCGTTCTATATCGTCTTTAAGAACTGAATAAATTAATATCCTATTCTATCTGTAAACGTCAAAATAAATAAATAAAATAAATAAATAATGATAATCAAAATGTAGTTTACGTGAGCACTCACGTAATTATATTGAAATACAAAAAGACATGTGTCCTGCGTTGCCAAAATTGTCGGTTTGTCGAGTTTTATGCCACAGACATCAAACATGGATTTGGTTTGTGCATCAGATTTGTGTATTGAATGATTCAATCTTCTAGTTTCATCATATAAGTTTGATGGCAACTTAATTCATTGAAAATGCCACTGCTATTAATTAATAATAAAGATTTGAGCAGTACTACGTGTGAGAATGCTCCAATAATTCTTTGTAAAGAAACCAAATATAGAAAGCTATGTTTTTAGCCTTTCTGGAATGCAAGCCTGGACTAATCACAGTTAGCCATGTTGCTAGTTAAGATTGCAATAATTATATGGGTAAAAGGGTCATTTTATTCTCTCCCTCTCTCTCTTTTTCTCTCTTTTTTTTTTCCCTGAATTTTAGTGCATTTAAAATCAGTTTTAAAATTTTTTGCTTTTTGTTTTGATTTTTTTTAAAATTTAATCTATCTTCATATTTTCAGCTATGATTTATAAAATAATAATAATAATAATAAATTAAATATAAAAAATAATTAAAAATCATAATAAAAATTAAAAATTTAAACACTGATTTTTAAATAGTTTAAAGGAAGTTTGTCCTTTTAACCTTATTATATATTTATGATGAAGATAGCTTGAGAGGGGGGACTTGGTTGAGCTTTGTAAGAGGAAACATCGATCCATCTAATTAACCGTAAACTGCCTGGCTAGTAGGTATGTATGATAGCGACAAGGGTGGTCTCAAATGAAAAGACTACTAGAGTGTAAATGATAAATTAGTCCCTATATTTATGATAAATGAATTAGTTAATACAATTTGTTTTGAAAAATAATTATTTAGTTTCTATATTTTTTAAATTTTATTATAACTTAATCTTTTTGTTCTTTTTTGATTTATTTTAATTTTTTTAAAAAATAATTTAAAAAATATTCAAGGATTATGAAAAAAATATTCTTTTTAAAAAATAAAATAATATTAAATTAAACAACACCAACACTGGTCAAATGATTAAATAATTAATTTTGAAACAAAAAATATTACTTTATTTATTTAAAAAATAAAGGGATTAATTTGTAATTTACTCCCTACTGGACTTGTCGTATTCCTGAACAAGAAACCAGCCTAGAGCTAGTCTGAACACAATAATTGAACTTGAATGATTGCAGTTGGACCTTCCAGTTTATTGTGATGGACAAGTTTGGGGGATGAAACGAAAGAATACTAAAAAAGTTGGAGACATGAAAAAACTTGAAATTTTTAAAAATGTTTATAGGATAATTTTGAGGGGAAAAAAATAAAAAATACTTAACTTCTATCTTGTCCTCTTTCGTGTCGTTTTTAAAATGGAAATACAGAAATTTGGACAATTTGTATGTCTCTTCTCTGCCAAATAAATTTGATTTGTATCTTGTATACATGTTGAGTGCCAAATTAAACACTATATATATATATAAAAAGTTCTAATAAAATTAGGAATTTATTAATGTTTCAACTTGGTGAGACGTGACATGAATTTAATTCCTAATTTTATAAAAACTTTATAGTGAAATAATAATAACCTTGTCTATGAAAGGATATAGTTTAATAGTAAAAAAAAAAATATTTTGATTAAAAATAAGGTTTAATTTTTACTATTCTCATATAATTAGTTATAATAATTTTTTAACAATACTAAGATTAAACTGATTTAACTTATGAATTAATCTAATAATCGACGAGACTTAATTTGACTTATGAAACAATCTAGTGATCGACGAGCATAATAAAAACGAAAATAATATTTTATGACAGATAGAGCACATAATTTGATAGTGGGATTGGTTTTTTCTAGTGAAAAAGCATATATTATTAGGATTGATACTAATATTTTATCCATTAGAATTAAGGCATAAACTTTAAAGATGTACTTAGATTTATTTTTTTATGTGTTTTTGTATGTTCTTGTGAACTATTATGTACGTTTGAGTGTATTTAATTCAAATTTGAAAGTTATTTAAAACTATATTGATTTGACACATAAGTCAAAAACAAGACAATGAGGTCCATGTTGCTTCAACTATGATGCCTGTAAAAAAGAAATAAATATACATGAGGGGTTAGAGGAATAAATATAAGTATCGCAAACACGTGATCATGTAGGCTTTCCTCTTGACACGAGAGGTTTTCTTGCAAGGCCCATCTTAATCCCTAAATTTGATAATGCAACCAAAATTGAGTTCAGTACGCAATATATATGGAGTAGACTATATGTATTCAGAATATTGGTAAGAAAAATCTTCATAATATTATATCATGATTTAATTATTTTTATTCTATGGTAAAGAGTATTCTAATGTCAGCTTGCATCTTAATAAAGATTAAGTTTTTTTTTTTTTTCAAATAATTTTAATAACTCACCCTCCACATCGTTCTAATGTATTCTAGAAAATTAATAAATTTAATCAGTGGGTAATATATTGATGCAAGGCCTCTTTCCAGGTGTTCTATCACCTAGGTGCTACTAATAATATGGAGTAAATTGTATATTAGTTTCTTTCGTTCAGAAAAACAAATTATTTAATCTTTTTCATTCAAAAATTGATTATTTAGTCATTCATGTTTTAATTCGGTCAATAATTTAGTTTTTTTATTATTTTTTTAGATTGATAATTTTTGTTTGCAAATTACTCTCTTTTTTTTTTTTTGAATTTTGATTGAGGAGAGAGAAAAGGAGTGAGTAAAGAAGAGAAATAAGGTATCAAAAGAAGGATAATTTAGAAGAAAAAAATAACTAATTTAATAGAAAACTGAAGAAAAAAAATTAAATTATTGACATAATTAAAATGTAAAAGAGTAAGTAATTAGTTTTTTTTTAAATAATTAAGTCATTTCTCGAAAGGGACTAATTTATAATTTACTCTAATAATATGTCTCCCTCATTAAAAAAAAAAAAATCTATACTAGTTAGGGTTAGCTAGTTTTTGTATCTGAGTCAAGATTGTCACTTTGAAGACAATCCAACATGCTCTATTATAGTCAAGGATCAAATGAGTGTCATCAATGATATTCTTTTACCTAAATGTTTATGTGGGAGCATTCTTTAACTTATTTCTTCTGCATCATAATTAAAGCCGAATTTCTTATATATAATTAAGCCAATTTTAAGATTCACATTTCGTTATTGGGTTTCTATTAAAAAAAAAAAACCAATACTAACTATTTTGATCTTAATTTTAAGAAATTAAAATTAATTGGTTTGATAATTAAAGAAGTTTGTTAATTTTTTACTATTTTAGTTTAATAATTGAAATCAATATTCACGAGAATTTATCGAATATCTCTAAATATATTAAATCGATATGAGAGATATGCTCTAAGATAATTTAGAAAAAATAAATTGATTTAATTGATGCATAAGCTAATTTGAAAATATCTCTTATCATCAAAATTTTTCTTTTTTCTTAAAAAAAAAACCTACTAAGAGAGTGCCAAAAAGAAATAGAATTTTTATTGTTGATAGGAGGTGCCAAGGGCTTGTAGAAATTTAAAAAATTAGAACCCAGCCTAGTCTAGGTTTTGCTTCAATGATGACCTTTCTTCAACACAACTTAAGGTCATAACCTCGATCGGATATAATAACGTTGGCCACGGTCGTTGTCACATTTGCTAAAACTTTGGGGTATGGTCTTGATTGAGTTTCTTACAATTTCAGAAACAATATTTTTTCACGGTCGTTTGTCCACAACCACGGTCAAATTTTTCATCCCCTTGATCATAATATTTTCCACAATTGTAGTTGAATTAGCAATAACTTGTGGTTCGATATTTTTCCACAAATTTAGTGAAAAAATTTCCTTGAAAATTTTGAATTGCCTTCTCTTGATGTAATGTTTGAAGATGACATCCCCTACGACAACGATAAAACAAGTGTTTTTTTTTTTTTAATCTTTTTTTTTACGTAAATTTAGGATTGTTACACGCGCTTGTGATTGATTTAATTTGTGCTCTTGATTGTTGTTTGTACCTGGCTTCATTTTTTTGTGAAATTTAATTTACATAGACTGGAATTAAAATCCAAACAATAACAATCATAGTTTTGATTGGAATATTTGTGCAAATTAGATGGAGAAAATTATTTTAAAAACGATGATCAAAATGACATCTTTAAATTATTCTATTCAGAAGCTAAGGATTTACTTTATTACCATGAGTTCTTTGATCTGATTAAATTGGATAAAGCCAAACCAACAGCCAAGATTGATGTTATTTAGGAAAAACAAAAACCGTAAAAAAAAAAAAACTACGAGATTTATAAGACAATAGATAGATGAATGATAATGTGTTAACATGTATCAAAGAGATAAATGCCACTTTACTTCGGCAACGGTGTTTTTGGAGAAGCTCAGTTAAATATGCTTTTAACCCAGAAATAGCGTTGTATTGAAGAACAGAAAAAAGCATCAAGCATCAACCTTTTGTGATATAAGAGGCACTTGAGGTTCCTGTATAAGTATATGAAGTACATTTTTCACCATTTTCTAACCTGGGCTGTTAGTGCTTTTCCATCCTTGAAACCAGCTTTCCCTGTTCCTGCAATTGTAGTGACCCTTTAGTAGCTGGATGTAGCTTCTTGATCTGAAAATTGAAGGAAAAATTAAAGCAATTTAACGGTGCTTGATCCTTTACTATGATCAATATGAACATTTTTAAGCGCAGACAAAGGTAGGAACTTTCACAGATTTTCAACAAAAAAATTACTAGGCTGCCAAGATATCCAGATGTATACTACTTGCTGCATTTCTTAGTTTGGACAATTGTCTAGGTTGTCTTCCATGAAACTACAGTATGTGAAAGTTTTCCTCTTAAGTTATGAACCAAACAACTCCAAATAAACTAAAACGCATTGCAAGGGAGCCATAAGACTAGCTAAATGTTTCAGCATTCTGTGGTTGTGTATTTCAGATCCACTGCTCGTCATTAAGATGAAGAAAAAGGGATCAATCAACATGGGTCCAAGATCTCAAAGAAATAGAACCTCTGTTACCCCTTAATTGAGGAAACATTGTCATTGGTAGCAACTTGGTTAAGGATTGACCCGTTTTCGGTTCTTTCTTCGAGCATTGCTGCCGAAGATTGCGCAGAAGTGTGCAGAACCTGTAGTCCCTGCATCTTCTCATCTGCAATTGCTAGGAGAACAACAAGGAAAAAGTTCTTGTATGCAATCTTAAGATAAATCCAAAGTCATCAATTATAAAACCAAATTCTTTGTGCTCATTAAAGCACTTTATCTTTGATGAAGAAAGTATTTCAATCATTTAAATGAAATTTGTTATAATCACAGTTCTTAAAATACTGAACCAAAGCAGATCGAAAATTCTACATTATTGATGGATACAAAATGACATTTTTGACATATTCTCAGGACTACATACTATAGCCACCAGATCCACCACTATCATCAAGCGAAATATTTCCTATCTCCTTTCTGATAAGAGATGGACTGACATCATTTGGAATCTCTTCTGAAAACATAGTGGTCACAGCTATGCATATGCAAGAAGCACAGAATGGTATTTGTCTGAATAAGAAAAAAGAGCATTTTAATGATCAGAGCTCCTTAAGGACACCAAATACACAAATTTTAGCTTTTTCATCTCATCTGTGCAGCTTTTGCAGCCTGTGCTCCAGTTAGTGCATCTTCAATAACAATACACTAGGAAAGGGTAGGCAAAAACTTATCCATTAATATGACCAAAATGGACATGAGAAAATATGCAAACTACAAAAATAAGTGTTGAAATAAGAAAAGAAGTTGATGCAATGATTATAAACTAAACAAGAAGAGTAGTATATGGTGACAGGTGGTACTTTAGGAGTAATTCAAAAACCTGTCTAGTGTTGGAATCCTCTAGAAAATGTGATGGGTATGAATGAGAATCACACCCACCCTAACCTATAAATCATTTTTTTCTCTCTTTCAGCTTTTTGCTAAGTTGTTTTAGTTCAAGGAGGATATCTTAATGAAATTCAGTTTCTAAGAGAAAAAAACTGTTCTGTGATGCTAATTATATGCAATGACTTTTCTGAGTTGACAATTCTTTCAACTTAGTAGGGAAAATAAAATCCAAGATCAGCTAGTATACCTCACTAGTGGCCCATCCAAGATTTTTATGCGGCCAAGAAAATGTCAAGAGCTGGCTTCAAATTCTCAAAAGCATCTGCTAACACAATAGCATCAAACCTGACAAAAAAAGACTAACAAGATAATCAGAACAGAAATCCTCCAATTCTTGACTCATAACAGACACAATCATCTCTCAAATATTCTTTCAAAATTAAAAGTTGACATATGGAGTAACTGCTCTATTGCCCGGTTATACTATTCTGAAAAATTCAATTTCACTTTAGAAAACAAAATTTAACTTGATAGAGAATTTAATCTGACATTCCTGTATTTATTGTTCAGCATTACATCTTCCGTGGTAATACAACTTGTAGAGTACTTGGCATTTCAGTGATTATCAGCAAAAATGTAAAAAATGGAATTGCATAACTATTCGAAGAACTAGAGAAATGGGACAAACAATAGGTAATCTTACATTGATACTGCTAATCAAGCAGCCGCTTAGTTAGCGTCAACTTTGATACGATCAGCACTAGATGCAAGAGCAACTTTCAGGCCTTACAGCAGCCACTACATTAATGCAGCTTCGATACAATCTCATCAAGTGAATTCTGAATCACGGGGTTACAAACCGGCGCAATAAGTTCTACGGCACCTGGGAATCCTATTCCAAAATTTGGTTCTGCATACTGCAAAATGTGAAAAGACTTTAGGCATCATATAACAAATTCACATTGCATTACAAACTTGGATAGCATTTCACATTAATCACTTTATCGAGAAATATCTCAAAGAACCTTTTTTTCACAGCCTCGAGATCGAATTCCGTAACTCCCTTTACATTAGCAACACCTTCTAGAAGTTTGCTTCGCCTAATACATTGAAGAAACTCAGCAGTTAAAAGACAGCTACTTCCCATCAAATTTACATCTCAAATAATCAAATTTATGTCCCTCAACACCAAATTCCAGAACATAAAAAGAGAATCATTGACAACATGGAACAACAGGTTCTCTAAGAATCAAATGACAAGTCGATTGGATTCTTTTTCAAGAAAGAAAAAGGAATTACTGAAATTGAAAACCTCACTGATTGAAGCCAAATATCCAAATACATTATTGTTAATTGTTATCTCATAAGAAATAATTAATGTATTAAAGCCAAAATTTTAAAATTGAAGAACTATATATATTACCTGTGCCTATTAATGGCACAAAATCCTCCACTGTAACTTCAACTCCCATCTCAACAAAGATATCAACACCTGCCATTCTTGAAGGCTCTTCACTATTGCACAGCACTCCATCCATATCAAAAAGCACAGAAGATACGTTACCCCACTCAGTTCCTGCTACTTCAGTTTCAATCTTTTCCTCTACCTTTACACATGCCTTCAGTACCATTTTTCTGTTAAAGACTGAATTTTTTTGACCTCTAGTGCAAAAAGTTGGACTAAACTTGAGATTGTTTTTGACCCTTTTGGATTGGAAGTGAAAAAGAAGAGAGATTTATCCCATTTGGGGTTTGATAGAGAAGATGGAGGAGATAGTGGTTTCATGGCCACGGCTTGGCCTTTAAATTTTTTTCCCCCCTTCTTTTTTGGGTAGTTAAACTGATTCAGTTTTGAGTGCCAAGTACTAGGTGGTCTGTTTTAGTTAACTGGATATTGTTAGGAAAAAATTGGTCCTTGATGTTTTCTATAACGACAAATTGGTCTCTTTCGGAGATAGTTCTTGTGAAGGGAAATTGAATGAGTTCGGCTTCAGACCTTTTTAAGTGTATGAATTCATACTACGGTTAGCCCAATACGTATTTGGTACTTTGGGTTATAGCCGAGAATGAGCTTAGATAGCCCAATCCAATTCAGTTTGAGAACCTGATTTTCTCTACATTTACGGAAGAAAAGATCAATGTTTAGCTCCAAGTTCACCCATTAGATTACTTATCTTAGCAATCAGATCAACTTTACGATCCCATAATTACAATTTACCTGTAGTATATGCCTCATGCATGCTTGTCATTTTTCAAAATTTTGATGATCTTACTGCTTTGTCATCAACCAATAAACATGCTATTGCTAGCTAGCACATTCATAGTGCAGTAAACTGTATATTTCGGTGCTGCACTTACTTGCTTAGCCCTACCACGCAAACATGATTAATCCTTAATTTAGACAAAACCAAGTAGAAATCTCAACCAATTATTCAGATTATTTCATCTATATTTCACCCTTATTCATAATTACCACAGTATTTGGTGGCTCCTTTTCAGCACACCAGTGTGTGGCCTCCCAAATAAGGCTAGAAAAATTCTGATTGTGTAATCACTCCACTACTTCATTATATTTATAGTGCTCACATTTTAATCTTGTTCTCCCACTAATCATGATTATGCAAAACATGTTTCTTCTATAAATTTGCTTTCCTCAAGCGGTTTTAATCAACCGATGATCATTCTAGAGAAGGAATATAAGGTATGTTAAGTCAACGAAAGATCGATTTTAGTTAATTTCGGTTTAAAGTAACTTACTTCTTTCAATCTTAATAGTTTGCATACATAAATAATCTTCTGTTGCTCGAAAATTACGGAGTTAATGATGAAGACTATCGTTTGTAATACTATTTGTGCTAGGATCGGCATTCTTGCATCTTCAAGTTGATGCTAAGAGGCTTCTCTTAAAGTAAATGAAGGCAAAAAATAATCAACCGGAAAAGCGGGCACGTCTAGTGACGAGGCTCGGTTCCGAGCAATTGATACCAAGGATGATAATTCTACTAGTAACAACAATGGTAGCATTGATTATGAGACAAACGAGCGGCTATGGGAACTATGGCAATCCTTACGGATCATCTACCGAAACTCACCATTCCCGTACCAATGATCGCCAACCTAAGAAAGGTTGTTGATCAATTATGAATCAAACAATGCAATTATAGCATATAGTGTGATCCAAACTATTTACGTTATGTAATGACCATTATATAACTGTTTTGAGACACTCATTCTCGTTATTCGATGTTATATAATGATCACGACCATTATTTTACTATTGCGGTAAGCCACACGGTTTGTGATCTCAACCGCAATCGTTTTTTAACTACGTTCGCGATTTAAAACTATGGTCCAAATTGCTGAGTATTTTTATGGTATTGAACTACAAAGTACTTATGTTACTCATGTAATGTATATATTGCCTAAGTCGCTTGCTTTTGTGCTTAACGATATGTTTGAATAAAACCCATGACTAGAGTGCTTGTGTGTGTTATAGTTCTAGTTTTCAAGGATTAGTAGCTTAGAGAACAACTTGGAAAATGAAATCCATCGATCTAAGCACAAGAGTCAAACTTGTAGATTCGGTTAGCCCTCGCAATTACTCGCATAATAACCAGATTGCTTGGACCTTAAGTTGATGCAGCAAGAACATTCATTCTCCCATCCTTTGTGACAAATTGTAAATAAACAAGATACATTGAATCCAAGTTTCTTTCTATTTTAAGTTTTGCTGCATAATTAAGTAACATCTAGTTTGAACTTCTTTCCACTCGTCAATCATGAAAAATTGGAGCTAAAAATTATTTGTCGATTGCGATAATTATGCTAATTATAATTATAATGACCGTAATAATGGTTAAAGATGTAACCAATAAATTGTTGGCTTAACGATAAGCGAGCTATTTTTCAATCGAATTTTACGTTAATGTATAGAGTTCGAATCCTAGAATTATATTTTTTTGAAAATGTCAAATCTTGTTGCTCCTACTCCAAATAAGATTAATTATATCCCTAATATAGGATGAGGATGCCTCGGTAAAAAAAAGGCAATCATCATATCCAAATCGCTTTTCCTTCATTAGTTTCCTCACATGTTCCTATAATTTCCTACTTATATCTCTCAATTATAATTTAGCCTTGATTACATGACGTTAATCATCTTATATCTCTTCACGGTGAATTTTAGCATTGCTTTCCTTTTTTTTTTTTTTTTTAATAACGTCATTGCTATATTATAAATAATAATTACAATAAGGATATTGTTAAATTCACTACATTAATTATTATTCCCACCATTTGTTTTCTAGACATTTACTCGATATACCCTCCTTCAATATTTCTTAAATAATAGTTATATATATTTTATATTAAATATCCAAAATATCCATCAACATTATTTTCTCATTTCATTTCACGTTTTAACATACAAACACAACAAAAAAATTTTGCAGCCCACACCATTCCATTGATGAAGGTTTCGATAATGTTTGTCGTTGTATCCGAGTTATGGACCCTTTTGGGATAGTGTGTTGGGGTATTGGAAAGCAAGCATAGAAAGGCCGGACAAGGTGTTGTTTTTTAAATATGAAGATTTGAAAAAGGATATATCCTTTGATTTGAAGAAATTGAGAGAGTTCTTGGGACTTCCTTTCTCCGAGAAAGAAGAGAATAAGGGGTAATTGAAGAAATATCAAAGTCTGTACGACTTTGATGATCTCAAGGATTTGGAGATGAACAAAACTCGGTGTCTTTGAATATGTTGGAGCTCCAAACAAGTACCTTCTTTAGGACTCGCAATTATCTAAGTCCTTCCATGACGAACGTTTCGGAAAGATAATGGAAGAAAAGATGGTCGGCTCTGCCTTATCCCGCAAAATATCTCCCTAAGCTCGCAAATTGCTTAGTAATCTGTGGTATCCCCGGCTCATTTTCCTTCGCTCCCAAAATAATCCTTATGCCCAACTTCTTATTGTTAATTAGTTCTCTTAAGGAAAAACGTCAAAACAATAGGAGTCCAACTATCTTTCTTTATTTTATCATGTGTTAATTTTAATGAGTATTTTGGGTATTTAATATAAAACATATAAAACCATTATTTAAGAAAAATTGAAAAATGGTATGTTAGTAAATGTTTAGAAAATAAATGATGGGAATAACAATTAATATGGTGAATTTAGCAATACCCTTACAATAATCATCTTACTAGATTTTGTACGACATATTCAACATTCACTTTGCTTTCAAACTCATTGAAATTATATTTCCATACAAAAAAACCAATTTATTTCCATCTTTTTCTTTCAGATTTGTTCATGGTTTGAAAACTTCACCGGAGGATCACAAAGAAGGGTGTTGTGTTATACCTTGCGATGGTATTGATAGGTTCGGAAAAGCTCGTCGGTAATGTGGCTTGCCATGGTTGAAGATGAGCGAGTGGAGATTGGATGTGTGCCTTGCTTTGGTTATAACAATGTATTTATAAAACAAGTCTTTACGATGAATTGAGAGATTTTTTAACGATCAAGTTCACGGTTAGAGAAAATCAAAATCACCTAATTAGGTTTTGGTAAAATGTATTGGTGCGTATAAAAAATAAAAAAATAAAATAACAGTTCATACTTTTTAGATTTAGAGAGTTGTTAAGAATTTGAAACTTGAAATCTATTGTGACTAGAACAGTAGAACTCTTATGCAGGGGATATTTTAGAGGGTTGCACAATGAGAAGGGCATAGTGGTCTATTTCTTTGCTACCGACATTTCCTAATAGCAAGTGGGATTGTTGGTGTTCTTCGGTGTGATCATTAGTCAATCTTGCTAAAGTATAGAATAGAGCCAATCAAAGAGATTAAACGGTTCGCGAACTCAAAAAAGATAGCAGCTTGGGGTTGGGTTTTCAAGCTAACAACGTAGGAGGCAGTTAGGCGATGGAGCAGACAATGTTTCAATTTTATCCTACATGCCATCCACTTTCTGCCACATGGCACCTGAGTGGACGTATATTTTACCAATATATATAGGATTAAACGTACGTTTCATGTCTATATATATTTTTTTAATCTTTTTCTAATCGTGGTCCCTTTACTTTTTATTTATTTATCATATTTGTTTACTCTCTATATTTTTTTTAATATAACCCATTTGATGAGATTTCATCTAATTGTTTTTTAAAAAATAAAACTAAATTAACATGTCAAATAAACCTAATACGTAAAATAATATAATTTTATCATATATCATTTTTAGGTGACATATCATTCTACATGTCACTTGTTATTAAAAAATTAATTAAAATTTTATCAAAATGACAACATTAAGAAAATATATAGACAGAATGATCAAATAAATAAATAAAGGAACCGCGTTAGAAAATGTATCAAAGAATACAAATCCCATATATATTAATATATATAAACGAATCTAGAGGGACACACTAAAAATTACTACCACATATAAAAGTCCGAGAAAATATTCTTATATATTCTTCACGGCCGTCCATAGGTATTACGCTGCATAAATAGATCAAATGCTCTGTAATTTATTCTTGCGTTTTTTTTGCTATATTCCTTCATCTGTTTATATAGTGAAGTCCTCAATCCATGTATCGGAGCTCACTGATTTCTCGAAGGTAAGGCATCATACTGTTCCTATCAGATATAGTGCAAATGTTCCAAGGACGTTGAATTTATAGTGATCAGTATGGGTGCATTAGCTATTATAGTAATTCTGCTGTTCTTTGCAAATCTTGGAGTTCTTCTTCTAGGAGCTCGTGTTCAAAGCTTTTCCAACTCTACTCAGTTTGATTCTTCTTGCAATGCTTCATCTAATGGCACTTTCGATGACAAGAGAGGCGTGCCAAGTGGAGCCAATCCTCTGCACAACAGGTAGAGATATTCATCAATATTCAATACTACAAGAGGGTTCAGTCAACTGCTCGAAGATTGGTGTTCAGGAGGGTTTAATGGTGAAGAAACATCACATACAAGATCAGATAAAGGGAGAAGAAGAAGGTTATGAAACCCTAATTAGTCTTTAGCTTTTAAGAAATTAGCTGTTCCTTTTTGTTATTTTTCGGGAGTTGTTCACCAAACATGAATACTTTATTACATTTAACATATAAAAGAAGTAGGAAACTTTTTGCTTAATTTTATCCTATGCTCTGACATGTATGCGCATGAGTTGTCTCTTGGTTTGGCATCATCTTTGATGAATGTTCTTGCATGCCTATCATAAGCGTGTAAACCCTTTTTTTTTCCTTTTGTCTTTTAATTAAGTGATTGAATGATAAAATCATCGTCTGCTGCATGCTTCACCTTACTACTCTCGGGTTATCGGGCCTGCCAATTTTTGGCCTCGCCCTCTAAGTTTGTGCCATCAAATGGTTACTATATATATATAACCTTTCTTTAAGAATACCAAAATACAACTGAAATGTTATTATTCAGATTAAAAAAAAATGGCTATCTCTAAATATGGAAGATAAGCTATAACTAATCCAAGTTAACCTACAAAGCTTTTGCATCGTACACTTAAAATAGGTGAATTTCCATCCGTCCACAAAAGCTAGAAGACATTTTTTTCAACCACCATGAATCTATAGAAAATCAAGAACAAGCGAAGTGATGAAAAATTAAAGAAAAAAGGAATCAGAGAAAAATAAAACGTAACAATAAAATACCATTTTCTTGATTTTCCTTATCCCCATCCTATTATAGGGAGAAATTTTATATTATTCATAAATTAACTACCAATACTTACTTTATAAGAAAGAGATAGACGTAAAAAGAAAAAAAAATAAGTGAAAGAAAATTAAAAAAGGAAATTTAAGCCTAGATAGACATATTTTATCACTTTTAATAGATCTAGATGTGATTTTATATATATATATATATATATATGTGTCTATCTCTCTCCTTAAAAGTGGACCCATAGAATAAGTATTGTATATTTACAACAGTTAAATACTCTTAGCGTATTTTAAAATTTCTCACACCGAGTCTATGTTTGTTTCGAAAAAATTAAGTGTCGGGAACTTACTTTCTCTATTTTTTCCAATTTTCCGATGTTTGTTTTGCATTTAGAAAAATAAGTCAACGGAATTTGATTTCTAGTCAATGAAAATTAATAGAATATTTTTGGACAAGTGACTTCCGAGCTAAAAAAAATATATTTTTTTTCTTCTCTCTCACGAGCTTTCTTTCTCTCGCGTTACTCACCTCTCTCTCAAAATATTTTAACAATTTTTTTCTCTATCTCATTTTTTATTTAAAATATATCAAATTAATTTTTAATTATTTCTTATCAATATAATTATTATTAATTATTTAATTATTTTTTCTTTATTTCTACTAACATTTGATTTTTCGATTTATAAATACATCAAATATTGTTAAAAACCATTTTTTATACCTTAAAATTATTTTTATAATAAATATTTTAATAATTTATCTATTTTTTATCATTATCCCAAACACAACCTAAACTCTACTTAAATGATCGAAAATGATTATTACAAGATTACAATCATTTGTGAAAATTTTGAAACTAATTAATTCATTAATAAATACATTATTTTTTCAACACTATTCATTTGTAACTAAATCAATAATTTGTGACTAATTTTAATCGGTTGTAAAATTTTGTTGGTACTTGTAGTCAATAATTAGTTACAAATTATTCCAACATTAATCTTTTGAAACCAAATGAATAATTATCTAAAAATGATAACTAGTAATTTGTAAAATTATTTTTTAAACTAAATTATTAGTTCAATTTCCAAAAAAAAAAAAATGAAAGAATTCTTAATTGAGTTACCAAAATAACAATGTTAGAATTATTTAGAAATTGTTTTACTAAATGTGAATATTGACTTGATTTTTTCCCAAGTAGTTTTGATGAATTAGTTGGATGGTTAAAAATATACATTTTATTTTATAATTTTTTGAATTTAGATATTAGAGTTAGTATTTATAAAAATTTATTAAACTTTTGTAAATGCATCTTACCGATTTTAAAAATATATTTTTTTTTTCGGAAAAAAGATTTAGTTTTAATTGTAAATTGATTTTAAAATATTTCTTGAATCCAAATAAAAAAAAATTATGGTCCAAATGATATTCTAACACCATGGATCTCTATCTTGATATACTCTTGACTAAAACTGATGCATTCTGTTTTAGTACACTAACATATTAGTTATGCTCTATTTTGGTAGCTTTTTGTAGATGGATTGTTATAGATATGGGATCTTTTAATAATTTTTATATTGTGAGATTTTGACTAGGTTTGTTGAAGTTCTCTCAAAACTCGTTGATATAACAATCACGAGTTTGTTTTTGTATTTTAGTTTTCTATATTAAACAAATGCTGAAATTAAACAAATGCTGAAATATATTTTCTAATAGTTTTTTCATGTAATTATCAAACATTAGAAAATATTTTTTTGAAAAATAGCTTCTCCAAAATTACTTTTCCTATTGAAAGATGTTTTTGCTAAACAAACGAAGCCTAGGATTCCCCAAATCTCTTTCATTTTCAAGAGAACAACCACCACTCTCCCTTCTTCTCTTTCCTTACTCTTTACTATCCACAGTACACATCCGAACCACTCTCCACCTTTCATCACTATACCTAATCAACCCATTACTACTTCATCACCAAACCCAATCTCCTCTCTTCTCTTTGAATAAGCCAACGTCAATCCACCTTAACATTGAAGTACTAAGCTCATGAAGAGAATTACTATATGTCAAAAAAGACAACAACAATGACCATTGCCATGACTTCCAACAACTACCGAAACAAGAACAACCATTATGATAGGGAGGTTAGTAGCAATGAAGCACCTTCTTGACTGCTGATTTCTCATCCCCAACCACCATAGACTATCCCTGCTTACATAAAGAAGGACATTGTTCACCACCAAATCATGCTTGGGACAACATCTACACATTGGCTCACACAACTGTCTTATGTCTACATGCATTACAACAACTCGATGACCAAGACTATAAACATGTATAATTTCTCTTCCTATAGATATATATATATATATAGATATATATAGAAGTTGTTACTTAGTAGTGATCAATTCAAGGTACCTGTAGGGATCGGAGACTCGTTGTGGTCAAAAGGTTCGCGATGATTATGGGCTCTAGAAGATTTTTTTTTTTTTTTGTGAAGATAGGATTAATCATGTTCGGGACGGGAGCAATAAATTTTAACCCCTCCTAACAAGTGTCACTCAAAGATTTGAATTCGACATATTAACATAAATTTTGCTTAGAGACAATCTTGTTTACTTGGTAGACCAACAACTTATTGGTAGACTCTAAAAGATTTCATTTTAGAATTTGACACCTGGTCATTTAATAATTCGATCGTAAACATTTTTTATTGATTGTGTGATTAGTCATTTAGCTTGCTATTTTTCTCTTCAAAAATATAAGTTTAATTTAAATTTTGTTAAGACTTGCAATATTTTGATATATGAAATACGTGCGGATAAGGTTTTAGTACTTTGCAATGCCTATTTCTTAAAAGTGTTAATAGTTAAATATGTTCTTATATAATAAGATAATTTTTTTAATTTGATATCATTCATCTAATTGAGTCAATTTTATCTTTAATATACGTTAAGTTTCTATTTTATTATTTTGACAAGATTTTCAAGTTGAACTACTAGAATTAGTCACATGATATAAACATAAAAGCTTTTTATTTGTCCGGCTTACAAGGGCATTTTGAAAAAAAAAAAAATTCATCTCGCAAATCACATGATTAATTTAGATGGATTGGCATGAAAATCTTACCAAAATGGTAGATCAAAGGTTAATTACTCAAATAAATAAAATAAAAGGACTCAAAAATTACAAAAAATCAAATCTTAGACACTAAAGTTGTAGTTTTCTCTAATTTGGAGCAAGATCCACTTATTGTCATATGTTAGTTCAAAATGGCTACATGTTAGTTGATATCGGTCATATCAACATTTAACAGTCTTAGGTGACCAAATGCATTCAAATAGAAAAGAAAAGGAAAAAAAATCAAAAAATGGTCACTCAAATAGGTAAAATAAAAAGTTAGACTCGTCAAAGTGAATAAAAATCAAAAGTTAGACACTTAAAATAGCAATTTTCTCTTTTTAGGTAAGACTTTACTAAAGGAGAAATTTGGTCTCTTCGCATGAGGTTTAATGACAAATTTTACTCTCATTCTATTGCGATTTGGCAATTACGGATCCTTAATATCAAATTACGTAATTTGAACCTTAAACTATTAGTTTTTGAGCAAAATTGATCCAATTTTTCTAATTGTTATTATATTTAGCGGTCAACTAGGTTGACCGTTACATATAATGTCAAAACGATATCATTTTGAAATTATGCTCGTTAATCAATTTAAAAAAAAATTAAAAATATTTTTAACCCTCTCTAATCTTGAACTTTTTAAAAAACTTTTTTTCTTATAAAATATTGCAAACATTTTATAAATTATAAATTATATAAAAAAACATTAATTATCCTTTTGTTGTTAACATTTTAATGCCCGTTGGTTATTATAAATATTTTATAAAAAAATTATTGTAAAAAAAAATATAATCAACAATACATAATTTCAGACCTTTAAAAAAAATTATAAATTAAAATGAGCATAATTAAGGGTTGACCCCTTAATTTTATAAATTATATACTATAAAAAATTTTATAAAATGTTTTTCATATTTTATAAAAAAAAAATTTTAAAACAGTTTAAAATTAGGAGGTAAAAATATTTATAGAATATTTTTATATAATTTATAGTATTTTACAATAGAAAAAAGTTTTAAAAAAGTTCAAGATTAAAAGGGTTAAAAATATTTTAAAATGTTGTTTTTTAAAAGATATAATTAGTAACGGAATGTCAAAATGACGTCGATTTAACATTTTAAGTAATGGTCAACCTAATTGGCTCTTACACATGACGATAATTTAAAAAATCAAATCAATTTTTATTAAAAAACAATAATTTAGAGTTCATTTAATTTGATATTAAAATAGAATAAGAGTAAAACTTCGAATTAAACCCTTAGCATGAGAATCGGAAGGAATTAGACCCTTAGGTTATCAAAACTAATTTAATTATAATTTCTGAAGTAGGTCTAGTCCTCCTGCCTCTTGAATCTTATTATTACATGAGATTTTTTTAGCAGCAGTTGGGTTCGGGATAGAATAGAAAGTTGGAGTTTAGTTCTTCTTTCGAACAAAGCCCTGCCTTCGAAACCTAGCCAATCCCAAGATATATAGTTAGAATGGAATTGCCATCTATTGTATAGAGCTAAATGAAACAGAGTTCTCTTTCGACCCTTATAGAATGGTACTTCCTCCAATACATTTTGCGATCGATTGTTATCGCATTTAACAAAATACAGCAAGCCCACCAGCTGTTTGATAAAATTCCCAACTGAAAATTTTTGTTTTTGCTTGCAGGATTTTATTGAGCAGACAATACACAACGAGTTGGCCAATTCGTCTTCATTTTACCGTTTAGTCTACTCAGAGGTGACATTAATATCAATGAATTGTTTCCTAATTCTGTTTTTTCCCTTTTCTTTTCTTTACTTTCAAGTTTCATTGACATGATAATGTTTTTGTTGTTATTATATGGCAGATAGAAGAAGTTGGGTGGGAGCATCTGGTTCGTTTCAGTGGAGATTTAAAGTTTCTTAGTTTTCGCATTATGTAAGGATAGGATAAGTTGTTAAATTCGATTACTATATATTCATCTCCCTTTGCATTATATGTATCATGTTTTGTTTTATTTTGTTTCTCCTTCAAGTTTACTTAAACATGCAGTAGACTGACCTGTTGTAATTTGAGTATCAGAGATAAGAAGGGAAGAGTGCATATCATGGAAATTCAGTTGGATAAAACCTATCCACAAAATCCACCTTCGGTTTCTGCGGTTGGTCCCTAATAATCAGTTTGGTATTTGAATTCTTTCGTTTCAAAGCTGAACCTTTGTTCATTTTAAACTATTGCAGGAGGTACCATACATATTCAATGTTAAATGGTCAATGAACTCAAGATTGAAAGATTTAGTGCAACAGTTCCGAGAGGTATACTTTGGCATGTTATTTTCTTATGTTTTCAATTATGAGAATTTTAGACTTCATGTGACTTCTGGGGGGCATGATCTTTTTAATAAATAGGTAATGTTACATCTAAAAAGGGTGTCAACTGAGATTGTTGTTTCTGAGTATAACAGCACTTAGAGAAGCTTCAGGAATTTTGGTCTACCTTGGATGATATTGATCATTCTCTTCGGGTCACTAATAAGAAACAGTTGTCTCGCGCCACAACTTGTCGCGAAATTGATATAGGTATTTATTCCCCGTGCATTTGTTGTCTTCTGTTGTTAGAATCAACCAAAGTACATGTGCTTTTCCTAGCTGAGGTTAGCTAAATGATTCTATTTTGGTCCATTCAGTTCTGTTTGGTATTTATCAAAGAATTTGTGAAAATAATATAATACAGAATCTGTCCGTTGTTGTTAAAACTTCCTCCCTTTTTTCCCTTTCCCCCAGGAAATGATTGTTTGATAATGTTGTCTATAAATGCCAAAGATCCAAGATCTTTGCCAGAGTAAGTTTCCTTCTCAAATCAATGTTATTGCTACTTTTCATTCTCTAATTAATTTAGTAAGTTTAAATAGGTGTCGCTTTATGGGCTCAGGTCCAATGGTAAATCCTGTGAGAAAGTTATGGCTAAGAAATAGCAAACGATGGTACGATCTTGAATCTCCTGAGTTTATCATTAGCATTTTGATTTCTACTACCTGTTTGTATTATAGCCAGGGTACAATTGTCGAGGTTTTTTTTTTTTTTTTGTGTTTTTCAAGTAAGTTATATACTTCCCAATGGGAAATGGAAGGAAGGATAACCCATTCGCTATTTTTTTCCTGAATTTTCCGTCCAAAGTTTGATGTAGTGGTAGTATTATCATTCATTTTGGAAAACAAGTGGCTTCATTATCAACTGTACCAATCAGTGAATACTTCATACATATGCACTTGGATTAATTTGTACAGGATGAAGGATAAAACACTTCCTGAAAGTCTTGCATTTATTTTGGAGACTGAACTACCAAGACCATCACATGTCCTGGAGAAGGATCAGCAAGTTGAATGTGGAATCTGTTATGCTCAATACCTTCCCATTGGTAGTTCTATACTAAGTACAAACTTTTATACTTTTGAATTTATTCATCTATCATTTGACCTGTAAATGTTCATGTAGATGAGGAGCTTGGAACTACGAGTGGTGCTGGAACTGACCATACATGTGATAATACCAGTTGTGGTAGGGCTTTCCATACTGTGTGTCTGGTGGACTGGTTGCGCTCTATCACCACTACTAGGCAGTACGTTGACTTTTTAGTGTCTTTGGCTTTTATTTGGCTCACGTAAGATAAATATGGTTTTAGTCCTTATTCACTACATTTTAAAGATTGGTTTTAAGTTGAGATTGCTTTGCTGCACTTTTTACCCATTTTCCATAGCTAACACTTCTACACCTAAATCTTCATATCTTAACCATTTAGTTTGATTCTCAAAAGAGAGAGGGAAAAAAACCTATCTACTTTGGCTCTCTCTATCATGGATTGTTTCCATTTCCTTCTGTGTGCCCTTTCTAATGCTTTTTTTTTTTTTTTTTTTTTTGCATATGTAAATGGGTAAGACCAGCTATCTACGTTTACAAGTCCTTTGAAATTACACAATTAAAACAAATTTGAAAATATGATAATGCCGCAAACTTTAGTGAGAAATGAAACCTATGGGCGTTCTTTCAATGATAGATTCTCCAATATTCTTGTACTTTATGATGGGGAATGAAGTACAACGATGAGAATTTAGTATTTGTTTATTTAGGAAATTTTAGTATCGTCTAATTATTCTAGATTTATTATTATTGAGGAATATTAGTATTTATTATTTATTACTTAAATTAAGATTTAGTTTCTTATGGAATTAAGACTTATTAGGTTTTTCTTATTTTATTTAGTTTGGTGCATATAAATAAGCATTTAGACATCCATTATGAAATGGTTGAATAATTGAATAAAATAAATTGAGTTTTCTTTAAAATTTGAGTGTATCTCTCTTGTGTTGCGTTCTTTAAGATTGAGTGTGTTTTGTTTTGGGCCCTTTAAGATTGAGAGTGTCTCTTTATTGGTGGTGATCTTGGTGGTTCTACATCAATCCAATATTAGAGCGATTTCACTGAGATTTGTTCTTTTCCTTAACTATGAATTTTTTGTTTTTCATATATTTTCTTCACCGAATTGCTTTTTCTTCTTCTCTCATAAATTTTTTTTAAAAAAGAAAAAAGTCAAAAGTCAAAAGAAAAAAGAGTGAAGGTCGAATTGATTTTTTTTCTTTTTCATTTTGGTCAATTACTAGCCACTGCCTGCTGAAAATTATGATTTAAACTTTTTCAAATAAAGTTATGCATACAAAATATTATAATAAAATAAAAAATAACTTTTTGTATCCATGTTTCATCAATTAGAAAAATAAACGCAATATAATGAGTGGATGATATTTCTTATAATTGCAATAATAATTTTTCACATTTTGAAAAAAGTTGTATGATAAACTTATTATCGTTGATATAGAAAAATATGTATTATATAAATGAACCAGTATATTACTAATATTTAGAACTTAATTAGGAAATTTGCAGTTGAAACATATTATATTCTATTATTATAATCAACTTTATTAGTTTTCTTCTAATCACCTGGTTTAGCATGGTTCTATCCATGTTCTTAATGTTGGTGTCTTGATGTATGGATACAAGTGCTAGAATATAAAAAAAAACAACCTTAGTTTATGGACTAATTTGTCAAAATTATTAGTGTAGGGACTGTTTTGTATTCTAGTATGAAAGCGTGGGGCTGAAGTAAAATTATGAATAAAGACAAAATGGGCTAAGAGAAGAAAATAAGATAACATCCAACAGCTAGTATTCTACTGTGTTATGGGACTGTTACTCTGTCTGTGTCACTGTATCATGGTCCAAGAAATGATTGACCTATCACCAAGGTTGATGGTAAAGAGTGAATATTCGATTCAGTGCTCTGGTGATGGTGGTTATAACTTGCAATCTGCGGTGGCCTCATTAGAAGATTATTTTCAACTTTAAATGCTCTATGAGGGATAATATGCATGCTTGCAGGTAAATTTACCAGAACATTTGGACTTCAGGAAAATATAAGGTTGCTAAAAGGTTTAACCAGCCTTCATTGGTTGTGCCTTTTCCCCTTTAATTAAAAGGCATTGATAATTCGTTATAGGTGTTTCTTCCTCTTAAGTTGCTTAGAGGAGACCCACACTGACCTTTGATTATCTCTGTTTGTTTTAGATACTGGGGTTTAAATGATTTGTGTGTTCTTGCATCTTTTTATTGCAGATCGTTTGATGTACTGTTTGGTAATTGTCCATACTGTTCCGAGCCTGTTGCAGTCAAACTGAACAGTACAAAGAGGCATGCCTAGGCCTTCACTGCATTCTTGTTAAATATGTCTTGATCATCTCATTGCTTTGTTAGCAGCAAACTCCTCAATTTAAGTTGAAGCCGAACACTCCATTCCTGTATGTCCAAGATTAATTTGCCAATTCTTGAAACTCAACTCTTAAAGCTTGAAAGCTATGGTGATGTTAGGGACCACTTTTGTAACTCATTTATATATTCTATTATTTCATCAACTGTGAACTGCGACCCAGCAATGATATGCAACTTTCAATTCATTATCTACTGTCCTTGATCTTATCTTTTGGCTAGTTGACTATTGATTACATTTCACACATGATTGGAACCTGCCAAATGACTTGGTAGATGTCTAAACTTATCAATTTGTTAATTTCTTGTTTATGATTGATCTGCATCTTTGGATGGATATATAGGCCTTGCTTCTTAAAGCTGTCTATTGATACTGACACGGGTAGGCTTTTTTCGTTGAACCATTGAGTGAAGAAACCACATTTTAGCAATAGCAGTAGATTGGCACCTAGCAATTCTCACAGTTTGTAGATATGCCAAATTGAACTAGTTTACACTTGACTTTTGATTAAACTGGCCATAGTTTCAAATGATGGTCCCTAGTTCTAACAGCATTGTCCTAGCGACTGTGTCTGGGGACGGACAGAGGGGACGGGTCCCCTGATGCATTCATATTGATCTGTTCAGCTTTTGCTTCCTACACTTTGAAGTGAAGAAAACTAGTTGAGAACCATATGTATAAACGTCACAGGGAAGCCAATTTTTAGCGTTGAGGTCTTGATAAAAACAAAATGAGAGGGGAGGGGACAAATGCAAAGACTCCAATCCATGAACTGAGATCCTTTTGACCAGATCCAAACTACTCTCATGAAGATGCATTTCAGGCCTCATGACTGAGTGTAATGTTCATGACGCCTATGCTAAGTTCTCCCCTCACTGGCTGCCTAACTCATGGACCATGTGAATCATGCTCTCATGTAGATCATTGAAGAGGGAAAATAATACTATCAAAAGAAGGGGACCCATTAATTTATGATTAATAAAAACCAGTAACAGTTCAAAAGAAGTGGTGTATTCCAGCTTTAGGCATTTGTTTTCGTTCTTCTTTCTCTGTCGGCTTGTATCGTAATTGACCATTATTAATGAACCAACTACATACTTTGGTTTTAGAACAACAGAAAGTAGCAATACCTTTGAAAATTGAGACCTTTACACCATAATAGGCAAACTTTTTATTGGACGCAAATTAAGTGCTTCATACACAGACACATGCTTGAGAGGTGTGTGTTGACCTTTTTTCTTCCTTTTTTTATGTCCCTCTCAAGAATAAACTTACACTTTGTCCACGTATGCACACAAGAATAATTCATTCCTCTACATGCCCTCCGTACTTGCATGGTTCTTGTCACACAATAGTAGATTACCAGGAGAGTACTTGTACGTAAAGAGTATATATGAAAGACATTCAAGTATATGAAAGACATTAAAGTATGTTATCAGTGTCTATGAACCGATTTGCTTGATTGTTGCAGACTAGATACCGGCAAGACACTCAGGTGGTGTGACCGGATAACGGGATTTGTCGGTGCAGTAATCATAAATCATGTGGTTCATACGAACCCATCTATATTTTCTAGCTTCAATGCCATTGAGGGTTTGGTAAGTAGCACCTTCCCACCAATTTCTAGGGTTTGTGGCACAGGTTGCTGGTCCTGGAATTGGGCATCCCTCAATGTCGAAGTCCATGTAGTATGCATAGAAAGGGGCTTTGCTCCAATCAATCTTTTCCAGGCCACCTCTTGTTGCCCAATCGTCGGCTTCCCACAATGTTGAATATACCCCCATAGGCTGGGACTTTGGAAACGGAATTCCTTTTGCTTCATTGTTCTTGTAAACCCTGATAGGCACGTCATCTACGTAGAACCTGCAATTAATCCCCACGTACGCACCAGCAATAATATCATTAACAGTACAGTAGCTTTCACCAACTCAAATATCAGTATAGCCTCCAAAACACATAATTAATGATTGAAAGGTTGAAAATTGAAATCTTCATTGATTAATAGATAAAATTTCTGATCTCTTTCTTTCTTTGTCATTGGTAAAAACTTGATTGGTGTCTTGGTATATATGAACTTACGCAATATGATGATGGTTCCAGAGAATTGTGTAGATGTGGAAATTCGCAGCGGGATCAAACCAAAGGTTAACTCTTTGTTCTCTGTCACCCTTTCCATGAGCATAGATGTTTGTTTGGACCGTGTAAGGCTGCCCTGTCCTGTTCCCCAGAAATTCAAAATCTAGCTCATCACGAACGGCATCGGTGTCAGAATTCATCTACGAAACAAATTGAGCAAGCAAATCATGAAATTTCAACGTTTAAATCAGCATGCAAGTTTGTGTCATATGATTTCAATGTTTTAGAGCTTAAACTACACACATAAAAGGCAGTGACCGTCCCAGCAGAATCTCCAGGGATGAGCTTGATCTTCATGCTAACCCGTCCGAACAAGTACTTGGCCTTGGAAGCAAACCCGCATCCTGAAATAATATGGTAAAAACACTTTATTAGTCAAATATTAACAATAACTATGACACATCGATACCTTTTGTTTATATATTTTAAATTAGATCATTGGTTAAATTTCCAATTATTTGTGATTAGTTAGCTATTGATCAGTCGTGACCCCACGAAAAGGCGTAACCTGAGTTTTGGTCTAGAACGAGTTGGATAGCCCTCCCTCCATTGATTTGCCTGATATGGGAATCAGACCATGTGACCCTAAAGTCTTGAAGAAAAGTTGCGGTCCTGGCCGAAACAGGAAGAGAAAATGCAAGAAAGTAAAAGAAAAGAAAGACGCTGGCCTTCCTTAGGGAGAGATATTGAAGAAACATGGTCGTCATTATAGCTAGTTTTGCGTTACAGAAATGCTAAAGAGAATTATTAGGGAGTGTGATTTAGAGAGGTTAAGGGCTCTTGCTATATACACACACACACACACGAAGGGTAAGATAAGTGATGTTGACTGCAGCGTTCAAATGAAAAGTAACATTGCAGTTTTGCTTTCAATTCCAGCTAATGGCAAGCCGTCGTTAGGCCCTACGTACCCCCTCAACATTGTCCTTGGGGGCTTATTTTGCTTCAACCCTTATTCCCTCTTATCCTCTACCACATAATTTTCTTCATCTCATTCTTTCCTGTACATAATAAAGGTAATGATTAGAATGATCTGTGAACACTTAAAAGAATTTATTAAAACTTTTTTAATTTAATGCCAAACTAGACTGAACATGAATTTACGATGGTCAAACCAAAAGAAAAAAAAAAAATACTACGTAGAACTAACAAGCTGCATTTTGATATAATATTATCTTCCTATATGTTATTGCAAGAATGCTACTAAAACTTGGAATTTCCTACATAATAAGATAAATACTCCATAGGTTCGTCATGAGATTCGATGTCAAATTTGACTCTTCATATATAATTGGTTGTGATATTTTTTTTGATGAGCTTCCTTATGGATCCTTAGTTATTCATAACGAAGATTTGTTGCACAAAATATTCAAATTGCACCCTACATGAAAAAAAAAAAAAAAAAAGGAAAGGGTGCAAGCTAAATTTATATGGTCTAGTTATTGTGGCAAATCTTGTTTTTTATTTATTAATATATTATATTATAGTTAGTGTGGATTCTCCAACTAGCTAGCTTTTGTATTATTCGAGATTAACTTTATTATTTTTTGAAATATCTTGATTAAGTATTTATTTGGTATTTGTTGTACTTTTAAAACATAACTGTTTTTATATGTTTTAGACTATTAATTTTTTATTTATTTATTTATTTTTTTTTTTACTTTTACTTTGAAATCAAAGCACGTCATTTTAAAAGAAAAACCAAAACAAAGTAAGATGTCCCGATTTTAATGAAAAGCAAAAGTAAATAGGTCAATCTATTTTTATATAATAGTTTTGAGTCTCCAATTTTATATTTCTAATTGTATTTATTATGTATTTGAATATTGCTTAAGTCTTTAATATGTCATTTTGATTAATTTTTTCGACTATAGACAATTTTTTATTGAAAAATCCCTAATTGAAATACAAAAAAAAAACCTTAAAATTTCAGAAAATAACATAAAAGTCATACGACTTTAAGTGTTTTTTTTTTTTTTGCATTTCAATTTGAGGCATTTTAATAAAAAAATTTTATATGCTTGATAAAATTAATCGAAATGAAAAATTAAAGATTTAAATATTATTTAAAGATATAATAGATCTAATTAAAAATATAAAAATACATTATAAACTCAAACTATTATATAAAAATAAATTTTCCTATTTATCCTAAAAACAAACCTGTTTATTATGAAACGACTATTTTTATAAGTAAAACTATAGTTTCTTAAAATCCCAAACAACCTAATAAATTAGTCGGCCCTAAAGTTCGGTCAAACATCCCAGAAGCTAAAAGCTCCGTTCAATTTTCTTCCATGACAACAATTGATTGATTCTTCTATCTTCTGTGTTACAGCCGAGAGACGGTGATTGATTTTGATCTGCCGATTGATACAAACCTCTAATGTTGGAACCCATTAATACGTTGGACGCATCGGCTCGGTTTCCATATAATTGGGTCCATCGTTTCAACTTCTTAAGCCTGCATAAATTTATAATTTTCTTTTCCTTCTTTGTTTTTTTCTTTATTATTATAATTGGAAGCCAAGATTAAACCTTATTTACGTAATAATTATATTTGGAATAAATTATAATTTAATCTTCGTATTTTTTTTATGATTTGGTAAGTTAATTCTTTTAGTTTTGAAAATAATAAGTTAGTCTCTATCTTGATCAAAATTGACAATTATCCTTCTTAAAATATCCTACTTATTCTTTTTAAATATACCTTTATTTTTTCTTTCAGTGTGTACGATTGCCAAAAGCTATTATTTTTAGAGAAAAAGGTATTTTTAGCATCCAATCTCTTTTTTTTCTTTTTTTCTGTTTTAGCACCTAAACATCGATTTCTCATGATTGACTACTTAATTTTGATTTTTTTTTCTTTTCAATTTCAATACTTGAAATCACTGAGACATAATTTATTGATGTGTTTAGCAAGAGCTATCACGTAACAATAAACTCCGGACACGTCGATAATTCATACTCTCAAATGATCGTGAACACCTAAAAAAAATAATCAAAACTTAAGTATTAAAAAAAAGTTAAAGGTTGGGCACCAAAAATATTGTTTCAAGATCGTAAAATTATTCCAAGAATTTCCACTTAGATACATTACCAACAAATATTTTCTATATCATGTTTGTGGCCTAATCTACTTATCAAAGGCATTTTTTTAGTCATTTGTATTAGTTAAAAAATTATTTTTTAAAAATTCTAAAATATTTTAAATGTCTAAAAAAATTAATGTTATGTCATTTAGTCCATATATATATATATATATATATATATATATATATATATATATATAAAGTCCAATTAAGATTAAATCTAAAAAAAAAAAAATAGATACATATAAGGTTCAATTATGATTGTCATTTACGGAACAAATGGTTGGCTAATAGAGAAAATTTACAAAAAACAAAAATTTCTTCCTCTGTCTATAAAGAAGATTGACCAACATATCATGAGTGACATAAACTTTTTATAGTCAATAACTTATTGAACTTGTTATAGTAGACTAAGATAGGATAAAATCAATATAAATAAATTTAGTAATTTAATTTTTTGATTTGAGCTATAAATATGCAATACTTTTGGTAGCATTGAAAAAATTAGTACTTTAACTTTTCATCTTCATTTCAAATTATTGAAGCTACAATTTCATCTCTAAATTAATGACATTAAAACCTACATTTAATTAGAACTTAATTATATTCTTAACTTAATTTTTATATGATAAACATAACATTAATAAAAACTTTATTTGCTCTCCCTAGTAGAGAAAAAAAATTCTTATTTTTCCACTAAACAAACCTTTCTATTCCCATATGTTGAAGAATATAAAATATGAAAACAATCTTACTACTATTAGACGAGATTATATTAATTTATATTATCAAATTGTATAATTTTAAGACAAAATTATATTAATATCTTACTATAATTTTCTTGATTTTCAATTTCAAATCTTGTATAATATCGAACACGTACATATATATATGATTGTTAAAAAAAATACATTTTGGTGAATTTATTGTAATAGTCAAGCATATTAAATGATCTTTATTTCATATGCAAACTTCTAAAGGTATTTGCAATAGATTCTATCATAAGAAAATATAAGTAATTAGAAATTTTAATTAATTATTAAAAAGTGTTCTAAGTATACACCCCTTTAACATGTGGTTTGAATACAAAATTTAATAGGAATCTTGCTGTATGTTATATAATATAACATACAGCAAGGTTCCTATTAAATTTTGTATTCAAACCACATGTTAAAGGATTGCTTTAACATGTGGTTTGAATACAAAATTTAATAGTAATCTTGTTGTATGATATATATATATATATATATATATATATATATATATATATATATATATATATATATATCATACAAGATTACTATATATATATAATTGTGAGCAATAAGTCATAAAGATTGTTAGTGAGATTTTCATGAATTCAATGCTTAATTTGGTGAGATTATATGGATTACGGAAAATCTAGAATCATGATTGTTGGTGTCTGATTTGCTGAAATTGTATAGATCACGAAAGATTTGATAAAATGGTGAAAGATCTAAAATCGATATCTGATTTATCCTCAATATGTCAACAACAGGAGAGAGACCGATTGATTCCATTGTTGTGACCATATATAGTAAAGAATCTTTCGTCCTAGTCGTTTAATATTAGCAATAAAAAATTTTCATTCACAGATAGAAACTAGCTATCACTACTTATAGGACTGCATGTGATACCGATCTTGGGAGAACAGAATATAATCACAGAAAGAAAAAGCAACGAAAGTTAATTAGAAGAAAAAAGCTATAACAACACGAAAGGTGAATTATCTCAGGAAACTGTGGCGGGGGCACCAGCAAGTGCAGTATGGAGTGCATTCCGCGGGCTGGAACTTGGAAGGTTGGTCAATGAATTACTAGGCCAAGTTATTGGCAAAATGGAGGTAATAGAAGGAGATGGAGGTGTTGGTACTATTGTCAAACTTATATTTCCTCCAGGTATCTAATACATTTGAAATGGATATGATTTGTTTTCCTTTTTATTCTTTATTAATGATAATTTCGATGATCCTGTCAGGAACTCCTGGTGGTTACTTCAAGGAAATATTCAGGATTATGGATGATGAAAAACAGGTAAAAGAAACGGAAACGATAGAGGGAGGATACAAAGATCTCGGCTTCGATGTTTATCGCATTCGCTTTGAGATCATTGCGAAAGATGCTGAATCAGCCATTATTAGATCCACTATCAAATATGAGATAGATGACACAAAAGCCGAGCTCGTTTCTCTTGTCACCACCAAGCCACTGCAAACTATGGCAGAAGAAATTGGAAAATATGTTAGTGAGAAGAAATCTGCTGTGTAAAATCTCGGATTCATTTACAGACATGTTTACATTGTTTCTTGTACTAATACATGCTATAGGCACACCCATGAACATGTCCAAGAAAAAAAAAGACTTACTTTATGGTCTGTGCTTCAAAGGATGTTGCTTGTTTTCATCATTTTCGTTGTCAGTTAAAAAACTAACTATTGTCACAACAAGAAAACAAAAAAATAGTAAAAATCCGCCGCTATTTATACTTAATGATGGATAAAATAGTGATGGATTTGCGACAACAAACTTTGTGTAGCAAAAGTTATTGTTTCTATTTTCTTTGCGATGTAAAAAATTTTCATAGAATTTTCATCGCCAAAGCATAGTAAACAATCGTCTCCTCGATCTCGTATCCGTCCCAAAATCGTTGCTAATTGGCTATTTCTTTCTTTATTTAGCAACCGAAATTCTATGGCTAAATTGTTCTTGCTAAAGTTCCTTGCAAATCCATTGCTATTTTAGCAACCGTTGAGCTTCCATCACTAAAGCGTAGTAAACAATCATCTCCCTAGTCTCTTATTTGTCTCAAAACCGTCGTTAATTCACTATTTTTACCGCTATTTAGGGACGAAAATTTTATCACTAAATTTTTTTCGCTAAAGTTTCTTGCGATTCGTCACTCAACAAAGGAATTTTTTTAATATAAGTTAATAGTTGTTTAATGTTAATGGTAGTAACAAAAACATTAAAAACCTTAAAAAAAACAAAAAGTCTAGTTTTTATCATCTCTTACATCATCATCTTCCGCATTATCTTTCGATTGCTATGTATTGAGAGGAACGAGTCGACTCTTAGGTTGTGGAAGGATTAGCTAGAGGGATGCAAGTCCGATGTAGGTCCCGTAACAACCTTATCATTGTCTACAACCGACTCTATATGATGTTAACTTGACTAGCTTATTGTTGGATGGCAATCTCTTTCTCCTTAATTCTATCTTCGTACTAGCCGAAAGCTCATAGTTATTACCATTAGGACACCACGAAGTGGTAAAGGAGGAGCTATCATCGAATGATTGTAATACTAGGATGTTTGTGATTCGAGGCCGTATATTATCTACTTCTTATCTCTTTCTACAGCATCCAAATATATCTTGAAAATATCTATGGTTAAAGACAATGAATCACCCTCCAGCCTACTTCTTAGCAGTTGTTTCTTACATTAACCGCAATTGCTACTCGTGTCATTGAAATAATTATAATATTAAATCATAAATATATTTTTTAGATTATATTGATAAATGTATATTTAAAAAAAATAAAAAACTTACCATTATTATCTAGGACCGTCCGTCGACGAATGACCCATCTTTCCACTTGTGAGTCGTGATGAACAATTCGTAAAGATTTGGATTACAACTCAATTTATTATGCTGAAAAAATAAAAAATAAAAATAATATGAGATGTAATAAATAAATAAATAATTGTAACACAATGGATAATAGTATTTATCAAATGTTCGGCGTGCTCAATCAAAGAGATGAACCCTCCAAGTATGCTTGAGTGGGCCAATGCAACACCACCCGTCTCCGACATGCGATTTCGAAACCCCTATTAAGATTGGGCCTAAAACGCAGGTGTGGTTCAATCCTGGTGTCATGCTTCTCACACTCGTTGTTTAACATACATGGGTTTGTCATTCCTATTCTTCAACTTATTCGGCATGTCATCATACTCGTCTTCATGCTAAACTCTCTCATGCATCTTTAATCAACACATCGATGGTCGCATCCCATAAAAAGTCATTCTACATGAACCAAAAAAATAATATTAGTATATTTTATGTTAAAATAATACTTTAAATGAAATATAAGCAAATAATTAATACATTATTCTAAACTCATTAAAGTAAAAGTCTTTTATTTCAATAGAGAAAAACTTTCTTGTCGAGCCAATGACATCCAACCGCTCTTGAAAAATTATAGTGATTTTTTATGAAACACTTACTTGACGGAACCAAGTCTGTTGAACAAAATAAATAAATAAGTGAATTAATTATTTCAATATAATAAATAAAAATATAAAACTAATTATCGCACGTAAAGCATATTACTTACCGATTATTCATGATTTGACAAGTCCGTCCATAATAAGATCCAATAAAGCTTTCCGGAGTTGAGGAAACTATCGTGGGGACATCCACAAGTAGGGACACTACCAGCGGGGCCATTACTAGCGAGGGAACTATTGGCGGGGATGTCGATGTGCCGATGCCGTTATCTAGTCTATTGTCCCCGACACTTACATTAGCAGTATCATGTCCACGTATATTGTCATTATCGAGCTACGACTACTAGTACCACGATCGATTCGTCTAATCCACGAGGTATAACTCTAGAATAATATCCGAAATAGCATGTCATCGTATCGTCTTCGTGCTAGACTCTTCCATGCATCTTTAATCGGCACATCGATGGTCGTATCCCATAAAAAGTAATTCTACATGAACCAAAAAATAATATTAGTATATTTTATGTTAAAATAATACTTTAAATGAAATATAAGCAAATAATTAATACATTATCCTAAACTCATTAAAGTCAAAATCTTTCATTTCTATAAAGATAAACTTCCATGTCGAGCCGACAACATCCAACCGCTCCCGAAAAATTATAGTGATTTTTATGGAGCACTTACTTGACAGAACCAAACTATCGAACAAAACAAATAAATAAATGAATTAATTACTTCGGTATAATATATAAAAATATAAAATTAATTATCGCATGTAAAGCATATTACTTACCAATTATTCACGATTTGAATGGTCCGTCCATAATCGGATCCGAGTAAAGCTTCATGAAGTTGAGGAAACTATTATAGGCACATCCACATCTAGGGGCACTACCGGCAGGGGCATTATCGGCGAGGGCACCGTGACGCCCCGGCTCCCTTGCCTATTACCTAACAAGCGTGATCGGCGCGACACACTCGTTGGGACTAAGTCCCCTACTTCCTCCATCATACACAACGAAACTAAACCATGAGAAACGTATGATATAATTTACAACATTAGTACGGATAGTTCTATAATTTATAACATATTCAAAATGCCTAAAAATTTACAACTCAGGCTCGTATCCCTTTTTATTGACACAAAAGATATTTCTATTTTTATGAGTGACACATGAGCCTTTTGTTAGCGAGAACCGATAGCATCCTCGATCGGTTTAACTTTGCATTTGCTCGAACAACACACAAATACAATAACGGAATGAGCCAAAGCTCGGTAAGTAGGGTGATGCACGTGATATGCAATGCTATTGTGTTTTCCATATTTTCATCCATTTTAATCCGGGTACCCTAGGTATATGTAAGTCCGTGCGCCCAATCTCTCGGTGATCTTGTTATCACCTACTCGCTCTATTACTTTCTCTCGGTGATCTCAATATCACCTACCGCTCGCAACGGAATTATCCCTCGTTGTAGCACACGGTTAACGAAATTATCCCTCGCTTAACGGTGTTAGTAAATAGAGCTCGCACTATGGATTCCTTGCTATTACCCAATCCACTCAATTCGGTTACCAACCATGTCAATTCAAGACTCAATGATCTTTCTCAATTTATTTCCACCCCCAATGCACATGATGCACGTGATGACATGTTTAATCACATTCAACCAAACTCGGGTACCAGCCCTTCTTTCTTAAGCCATACTCACGGTCCAACCATCACTCGGGATTCACTCGGCGCTCACATACCAATCATGGTACTCATAGCGGGAACACAACCTCCACTCATTAATATTGTTTATTAGTTTCATTAATAATTAAAAAAGGTCCAAATTCTTTTTATTTTTTTCTCTATGAAAGAATAAATTTTCTTTAAAATTTTAAAATCCTTTTTTTATTTCTATTTAAGTCCACTTATTTTAGCCTAAGCCCATTTTCGTTAGTCTAAGCCCATCTACTTTAAAACCATGCCTTTTGATTTTAGTCCAAGTCCATTTCCAAGTTTATTTTATTTAAGTCCAAGCCCATTAACATTAATCCAAGCCCAAGTCCATTTGTTTTAATCTAAGTCCATTTTATTTTTAAATCCAAGCCCATCTCATTTTAACTCAAGTCCAAGCCCATTTCTTTTAATCCAAGTCCAAGTCTATTTGTTTTAATCTAAGTCCATTTTATTTTTAAATCCAAGCCCATCTCATTTTAACTCAAGTCCAAGCCCATTAATATTAGTCCAAGTCCATTTATTTTAATCCAAGTCCAAGTCCATTTGTTTTAATCTAAGTCCACTTTATTTTTAATCCAAGCCCATCTTATTTTAATTCAAGTCCAAGCCCATTAACATTAGTCCATGCCCATTTATTTTAATCCAAGCCCAAGTCTATTTGTTTTAATCCAAGTCCACTTTATTTTTAAATCCAAGCCCATCTTATTTTAATTTAAGTCCAAGCCCATTAACATTAGTCCATGCGTATTTATTTTAATCCAAGCCCATCTCATTTTAACTCAAGTCCAAGCCCATTAATATTAGTCCAAGCCCATTTATTTTAGGTTAAAATTTTCCAGCAGTGGCACACTTAAACAACCTATACCAAACCAGCCATAACTCCTTAAATATATATCTAAAACTCACGAACTTTTAAGGGGAGATATTAGACATATAGATCAACAACTTTCATTTTTTAAGTTTCCTCCAAAAATCATTCTAAAATCCTTAAATAATTCACACAAGTTTCGGAACTAAATAAACTTTTCCAGTAGCTGGTCCATTCAACGACCCATACCAAATCCGTCATAAATCCTTACATACAGATCTAAAAATCATGAAATTTTAGATACATAAAGTAGACACATAGATGAACAACTTTCCTTCTTTGATTTCGGCCCAAAAACCACTCTATGATCCCGAAATAAATCGCACAACTTTCGGAATGAAATATTTTTCCAGTAGAGGTTCCATCCGAACGATCCATACGAATTCAGTCATAACTCCATATATATATCTCTAAAAGTCACGAAAGTTTAAAGGAACATAGTAGAC